ATTAACCGCGATAAACGAGGGTTCACTGTACTTTGTGATGGGATTTTAAAAAACTACCTGGTGTTCATGTAAATGTTCATGTAAATGCTCCTGCAACTGTTCTGCATGATGAGAAAGACCACTGCAGGGACAGTGGATATCTTAATGTGACCCTCCTAGCTAACAGCACTATCTAATTCCTAACAAATAACATGCTCCTACCTGGGTCTGCTTCTGGGTAAGAGGGCAGTGGTGGGGGAGCCACGGATAGGATTCCCCACTCAGCGGGCCTGGCTGAGTATACGTGGGCCTGACAGAGAGGCCATCCATAGATGTGATCATTAGGTTTATTGTGCCAACCTGGCCAATAGGAGCATGTGGGATTAATCAGGTCAAAATCTGATTGGAGGGCAAAGAGATAAATGGCTCTGCAAGGCCTGGCCATGTCTCTCTTGCTCCCTGGTGATCGGAGCATGCTGCTGCTGTAGCTCGTCCTCTGCCTCAACCTGTGGACTACACCACCTGTGGGACAGGCCAGCCTGTGGATCGTGTCCCGAGGCTCCTTCAGACCTGCTTCGCCACGCTGCTTGTGCGCACATCACCTGAGCTCGAGGCTGGTGGACCCTGTTGCCTTGCATGGCAGGCGTTCCACATCCCCTCTCCTATCAGGGCCTGCTTTGCTAAGCTCCTGAACTAGTGACTACTGGTGACCCACCCTGCTGCTTGCTGTCTGTGGACAGACTGGTTGGCTTTGCTCAGGGAGGACTCTGCTGTCTGCTTCCTTGACCTTGGACCCAGCAGCCCATGTAAGTTGAAGGACTTCCAGCATATTAACTGTTCCACAGAAGTGAGTTGAACTGAACCCTGTATACTGCTGTGTGGACTAATTAGCTGTTATATTCCTTCTACACACACACACACACACACACACACACCAATTATCCTGGTCTCATTTCTCTAGAGAACCCTGCCTAACACAATAGACAACACTTACAAAGGCTGAACAAAACCTATCGAGCGTGAGGGGCAGTCACTGCAGAGGAAGTACAAGCAGGCGGATGCAGAGCGAGGCAGCAAGACACGGAAGAAGGGATTGGCCTGGGGTGAATTTATGACTTTTCCTAATTTCATCTGGAGGGCCCAAGTTTTGGGGGCCAACAAATAAAATGCTGAAGGGTGAGTGAGGAGCCCCAGAAAAGAGTGAACCAGAGCTTGTGGTGAGAGGGGTCCCCAATGGTCCCTGTGAAATCTGCCAATCTTTCTGCTGAGTGACCGCCGAGGCATGCAGGCGAAGTTAGTCAGGAGGACAAGAAGGAGAGACGAGCTGCAGTCTGGACGCCTGTCCCGCCGACCAAGTTCATAGTGTAAGTCCACACAAGTCACCCGGCTGCGGAACCGACAACACCAGCATTCTGCAGAGGACAGTACCAGGACGCAGCGCTTCGATGGCCTAACAGGGACAATGTCCAGGACACAAGCCCAGGTGATTCCACAGGCAAAGAGCTCGGCTAGTGTGACCCATAATCAATACAGGCCCAACCTGAGAAGCCCACAATCCCGCCAAAAGCTGAGAGGGGCTTTGGGGTCTTTGCTGTCAATGTGCTCAGGAATATATGGGGAGAGGGGGAGCCCCAAAGTTTATGAAAAAATTCCATCATTTTTTCATTCAATATTTCACCAACTTTTGGGGTTTTTTCCCCAACTACTTTATTGGCATATAAATCACCTATCATACAACCCAACAGTTCACTCACATCAAGAAGAGTTGTATAATCATCACCACAATCAGTTTTAGAACATTTTCCTCATTGTTGTTCTCATTGTCAGCTCCCCATTTCCCCCCAACCTCCCCTTTCCTACCTGCAAGGGACCATTAATCAGTGCTGTCTCTATCGATGTACCTATCCCAGATTGCATACATTTAAAAGCAAACTAACAAGAATGACAAAGTAAGATAGATAATCCAGCCACACTCATGTAAATATAAGAAAGAGCTTGACACCAGGACAAGCATCCCAGCCTAATCCAACTCAAGTCCACAAGTCCGATACTCGTCCCTAGAACCCTCTTCAGATGCATGCAGCCACAGCTGTGATGGAGAACACAGGAAGACCACACACTGGTGGGCACAGAGTCCTGTGGATCCACGGTCAGTGGGAATATGGCAAGGCTCTGGCCATTCTCAGGGTGACCAGCAAGCAGGAAATTGAAGGGGGAGAGAAAGGGAGGTCCCCAGGTTCCTCTTTATGAGAAGACCACACCCCCAAGGACGCAGCATCAGGCTGTGAACTCATTGAGAGGCTTGACTCCAGCCCCAGCCAAGACTGTCTAGTTGACATAAAACCATCTAACCACGAAACCCTCTTGAAAGGAGCCCTGAATAAAGGAGACGGTGGTGGAATGGTTACTCATTGGGCTGAAATCTGCATGGTCGGCAGTTCGAAACCACCAGCAGCCCCGAGGCAGAAAGACTGGCTTTCTACTCCCGTCAACAGTTGCAGTCTCAGAAACCCACGGGAAATGAGTCAGCATCGACTCCAGGGCAATGAGTTTGGTTTGGTTGGACCACATCTCCTACAGACCATTTGTCTGAGCAGAACAAGGGAACTAGGCTGGTTACAGTCAGGAAAGGTGTGTGTCAGCTGCATCCTTTAAGGAAACATCTATCCAAGCTGCATGACGGGAAAATAACCTGAGAAGCGAAGAAGACCGCATGACATCCCTTTCCTGGCACACTCAGCGCAAAGAGGGCTTGACGCCCTCCCTGATGAAGGTCAAAGGGTACCGCCTTCAGCACGGATTACAAATCAGATTAAAAGATCCCATCACCTTAGAGAAAAAATGGGAAGCTGTCTGGGATGTCACCTTGTTTGCCTCCACAAACAATGCTCGTGGGGACCGCGGTAGCAGAATCAACAACAGTACGGCTCACAGGCCGGCCTGCTGCACGGACGCGGAGGAGCAGAGATGCCGCTTTGAGAACTGCGGTACCCGGGACCCAGGCCACCAGGTTTGCGATGGCCTCGTCCTCATGTTAGAGCTGGGCGATGGATACGAAAGCCCAGAAATAGCCTGGTGCCTCTGAGTTACAGTGCTGGCAAAGCATACCACCTGCGGCACGGGCCGCTAGGTGAATAAACAGATTTGTCTAGGAGGAAGGGCAGCCGGAATGCTCATCTTAGCATACAAGTCGTCCGGAAGGACCAGGTCCTGGAGACGGACACCAATCATGCTTGCTAAATAGAGCTGAAGGCCAATCCTCCACAAGATGGGCTGACACCGGGGCTGCAGCCTTGGGCTGGAGTCTGGGGGGTGGCGCAGGATCCGGCAATTGTTGACGAGCTCTGCTGGGCACAGGGCTGCCCCGAGTCTGGGCAGATGCGACGGCACCTGACCACAGCAACGCGGAAGGCTCCACGTTTCCCGAGACTGGCAGAGTTCCACTTAGTTCACAGAAAGCGACAGCGCCTGATAGATGGGATTTTGTCAAAATGGGCACACTCAGAGCTTGGGGCGAGGGTGGGCCCCACGTCCACAGAAGCTCTAACAAGAGACATGTGGGCACACCCCGGAAACACAAGCAGCTCCTTCCTACAGCTGAACGTGGATAAGGCACCCCGTCCATTTAGAAACGGGCAGGAGAGCTGAACAGGCACTTCGGAAGAGAAGATAACGTCAATGGCAAATAAGTATAGGAAAGGGCACACGGAATGGTGAGTCACCCGGGAAACACCTATCATTACAGCAAGACCCCGGAGCCTCATTAGCATGGCCACGGTTACAGAGCCGAACAGCTCCAGGAATTGCTGGAGATGGGCAGAAGCCACTCCCCACACGCCCGGCCAGTGGAGATGTACCAGAGGGCAGAGCCCCGTCCCCACCAGAAAAGCCGCCGCCCACGTCAATCCTAGGTTTTCACCCCACAGCAATGGAAGCACACATGCCCCCCTAAAAGACTGGGGCAAGAAAGTCACTGCAGCTTAATTAAAACCAAACCACAAAACCCAAACTGGAGTCAGCCCCGGAGGGTGGATAAGCCAACCGTGGTATGTTAGCATCATGGACATGTACAGAACAGATCTTAAAAAGCTAACTGTATACAGAAAGGGTATGCGGGAAGCGTACACCTGAACTATACACAGGGGCATTCACAAAAAAGGGAGGAGGTGGAGGTGGTAAGATTGACATTAAAACTAGAGGAGGCACTCTGACCACTCCTGTGGCTTCAAGCACTGTGCAGAGCATGGAAATCAATAACCTTCCTTAATCCTTTTAACAACCCACTTTCTTTTACAGAATGCACCCGAGGCAGAAGGCTGGAAAGAAGCATCATTTTCAGGGCTCCTCTGCTCAGACTCAAGGCCACGACAAAAACACCGCTGCCGCGTTCTCTATCCAGCAATGCGCCCCCAAAATTGCTTGCCCCACCTATCACGCTTAGTACAGTGCACTTAGTCGGATGGGGGGTGTGTGGGGCAGGCTGTAAGACCAGCCCCCCAAAAGTCTTAACACATGGACCCTGCTCTCTGTGTAAAAATGAAATACATCAGTTTGTAATTAACTTGGAGGGAGGGAGGGGGCGGCTGGTGCTCAGGGAAAACAGCTCCGGAAAACATCCAGCAATATAAATGACACATGCGTCCCCTGGTGATGGGGCCTGGGGCACCCACAGCAAGGACAGGCCTCTCGGCTTACCTTGGGGAACTGCTTGACAGGGATTAACACTTTCTGTCCCAGCTTCATGTTCTTATTAATCACCACGTCGATGTACTTTTCGTCTTCCTTGCTATCTCCTTTCTGAAATTTTTCTATTTCTGTGGAGGGAAAGAGAGAGACGTGAAGTGGGTGGCCAGCGCGCGGGCAGGGTCAGGGGATTCTGTACAACAGAGCTGGAGAGCGCAGAGTGGCATCAAGCCCAGAAACACAGGCATCAATGTGATCGCCACCCTCCATCGGGTTTCCACAGCAGCCAGTCCATACAGAGTGGGCAGCCTCATCTTTCTTCCATGGAGTGGGTGATGGGTTTGAACCTCAGACCTTGTGTTTAGCAAACCAATGCCTAACAGGAAGACCACAGGTGGCAGGGCCACCACCAGGACTCCTGAGGCCCTTAGATAGGGAGCAAAAGAAGGTGGTGCGTCCTCCCCCTGAATGGGAACCGCTCTTCGACAAAATCTGTGCCTCCCATTCAGTGAACATCTACCCGAGGGGCGCTGTACGGGTGAGCTCCAGGCCCTGCGCACAGCGCAGCGGGTGTTGGCTGTGCAGGAGGTGTACACAGAGCCCACAAGTGATTGCCCAATACGAGAGTCAACAGAAAGCCAGAGATCCCTCTAACAAAACCAGCAGCAGCCGCCGCAGCAGCAAACACGCACTGCCCTCCAGTCGACCCCGACCCAGCGACACGACGGGACGGGCAGAACTACCTGTCCCTGTGGGTTCCTGAGACGCTAACTCTGGACGGGAGTGCAGAGCCTCCTCTGTCGCCCACGGGCGGGCGTGGCTGGGGGTTTCCAAGGGCTGGTCTGGTGGCTTGCAGTCCAACATGAACCCCGCCCTGCCAGCAGGAGTCCTCAAAGGTGTGTCAGCGCCGGGACAGGGACATGAGCTCAGAGAAGGCAGCTACAGGAGCAAGAGCTGAGGGGGCGCAATGAATCAAGAAGGTTGTGGGAAGAGGTCTCCAAGTGCCGCGGGGATGGAACAAGGTGCCCTGCGCAGCCAAGGCGCCATCGTCTGACCCGCACTACGCCGGTCCCTGACCTGGAGTTTGGGATTCTAACCCCAAGCTGCTGCCACGGGGTCTTCTCTGGCGGTGGGAAGGTGCATTTGCTATCAGCAGAACGGACAAACCCTCTCGGCCCACCAGAGGATATCGAGGCCCATTTTCAAGGTCAAATGCCAGTGGGGGGAGTTGGTTTTCACTAATCCCTAGATTACATTTAGTCCACAGCGCTTAGTGCACCAATGTTATCCTCCCAGCTCAGCAGTCGCAGGCAGATGTGTGATTAAGGCTTAAAATCATATTGAAGACAGAATTCCCATGTCCTCAAACCACGGGCACCAAGATTCTGCCGGTCCAGAATCCTGGATTCAGCAACCATTGTCTGCTGTGGGATCCATTTGGTCGTCCGGCCCGTTGTTTCCCCTGGGCCAAGACAGACCTTGTAAACAAAGCCCATCTACCTGTACCCACATGCTCCGTACACTAAGACCTGTGATCAAAGAGCCACGTCATCTTTGAAGCTGTATGAGTGACATTTGCCACATGACAACTTCCGTGGTGTAAATTTTCATCAAAACTGCTGAAATGAGCTCACAGAAGCAGACATCCTTAATTGGTATACTTTTCCTTTACCCTAGGGATTTCATTTCGAGACTTATTCTATCAATATGCACAGACAGATGCAAAGTATCATTAGCAATCGTGGCTGCCCACCATCTTTGATGGCACGGCACTGGGAACCTCTAGGCACTCCTCAGGGGAGACCAGCAGGTCAGGTCAGCGTGCACCCTAAAATGGAATGCCATGCCACACTTTAGAAAATGAGGGCACACGCTCTGCTCTGGCGACGAACAGCATGGGAAATTCTGGAAGGCTCACCACCAAACCCACTCTTTAGAACGCCTGCACAGTGCGGAAACGGAGGAAGCCGAAGAAGCAACATCCAAGACTGTGGTCTTTAGAACCCATTCCATCCGGGAACTGAACCACCGGCCCCCCGGGGCTGACCTTCCAGCCCAACCAGAGGCAGATGTGTCAAGTGAGTGGTCAGCGCTAGTGAGGAAATGCACTTACTCCTGGGTACCACCAACAGGGAGAGGCGGAGAGGGCAGTGTCCCCGACCACAGTGCTCAGGAGGCAGGTAGGGGCAGGAAAGATGGGTGACTGCAAAGGGGGACCCAAGGGAGGGAATGGGGAGAAGGTTAAGGCAATGAACGGAAAGCAACCGGCAGCATCATGTAACAGGGAGTGCAGCCAGTAGACTGGAGAACAAATTGGCTCAGTGAGATGTCACCCAACGACAAGTACAAACAAACACCACAGCAAAACACCATTGCACGCACACCCAGAGACAGAGGGAGGGGGAAGAAGGCATCCGAGGGCACCGGAGCCCAACCTGGTGTGCTCTAAGGAAGGTGCCAGCAACGGGTCTGCATTTGGCCCCGGGGGGTGGGA